TACAACTTGGCCTACAACTTGCTTGGTAGCCCAGCAGGCCTCAAATTCACAGTCTTCCTACTTGAACCTCCCAAGCCTTACGATTGCCAGCATGCCAATCATACTCTTAACAGCTGAGCCACCACTCCAGTTCCTGCTTGTTTTGTGTTTCTTTGTTTGTTGATGTTTTGTTGTATTTGTTTTGTTTTGATACAAGGTCTTACAATGTAGCCCTGAAGCTCAGGCCAGTCTGGAGCTCATGGATACCAAGCCTAGCAGTATCTGCAGACTTTTCCCTTTTCTTTTTGGTGTGTGTGTGTGTGTGTGTGTGTGTGTGTGTTGTTTTTGTTGTTGGCTTGAGGCAGAGTCTTGCTCTGTAGCCACTAACTTGAGGCTATCTTCCTTCCTTAGTCTTTCAAGCACTGGAGGTTGCAGCCATGTACCACTGTGTGTAGAGGTTTAGAGACAGCAGCGTCTGTTCCTCTCAAACATTCTGGTTTAATTAATGTGAGTGGAGGGGGAATCAACATTTTATTTTTTAAAACGGTTTATTTATTGTTACTATTATTATTATTATTAGTGTGTGTGTGTGTGTGTGTGTGTGTGTGTGTGTGTAGACCGATGAGTTTGTGGAGGTCAGAGGACACCTTTCAGAAGTCAGTATGTGCCTTCCACAGTCGGTTCTGGAGAGCAAACTCAGGTCATCAGGCTTGTACAGCAAACACTTGTACCCACTTAGACATCTCACCAGACTGGCATCAGGAGTTTTAAAATCTTCGCAATAGATCCAGGTGTGGTGGTGGCTCACACCTTTAGTCTCAGTGCTTGGAAGGCAGAGGCAGGTTTTAGGACAGCCAGAGCAACATAGAGAGATCCTGTCTCAAAAAAAGTCATATATAGCTGCACTTTGGTGGCGCACGCCTTTAATCCCAGCACTCGGGAGGCAGAAGCAGGCGGATCTCTGTGAGTTCGAGGCCAGCCTGGTCTCCAGAGCGAGTGCCAGGATAGGCTCCAAAGCTACACAGAGAAACCCTGTCTCGAGCCACCCCCCCAAAAAAAAAAGAAAGAAAAAAAAGAGTCATATCTATATCTATATATATACATATATATGTATATATATAGATATAGATATATCCATGGTAGAGCACTTGAACCCCAGCAGGCATGTACATGTACACACTTGTGTTCACACACACACACACACACACACACACACACACACATCTGCCGGTGACTTCACTATGAGGCTACTGTTGAGGACCCCTTGGTTAGATTATTGTTGGCTGAAGAGGATATAACAGAGTCAGAGAACAGGGGACCCTTCAGGAACCAATTCAGTCACATA